ACCTGTCCATCCTATGGCTGCGCGTAGACAGCGACGACCATCCCCGCGTCTACGGGTGCCTCTATAGGTCCCATAGCGGTAATGCCGACACAGACCGACTCATCGACCACGTCCAAATGGCTGCAGACTCCGTGCTACAACAGGTCCCATCCGCAGAGATCGTGATACTCGGTGATTTTAACGCCCACCACTGGCTTGGTTCTCGTTTACCCGATCATGCGGGTAGATCTGTCTATGATTTTGCTTTGGCATATGGTCTAACACAACTGGTTACTTCGCCTACGCGGATCCCAGATGTGGAAGACCATGTACCTTCCCTGTTGGACCTTCTGCTGACCTCTCATCCGCATGGATATCAGGTCTCCATCGATGCCCCTCTGGGCTCTTCGGACCATTGTCTGATCCGGAGTACAGTACCACTCACGCTCCAATCGCAGTTGCGATCTGCAGCTTGCCGCCGTGTTTGGCACTATAGGTCAGCTGATTGGGACGGGATGTGGTCTTTTTTTGTATCCTACCCTTGGGAGCGGGTTTGCTTCTCGCCGGAAGATCCCAGCGTTGTTGCTGATTCTGTTGCTGATGTGGTACTTCAGGGTATGGAACATTTTATTCCATCCTCTGTGGTGCCCATCGGTGGCAGATCCCAGCCATGGTTTGGTCGCTCCTGTAAAATAGTATCACGCTATAAGCAGGGGTGCTATCGGGCCTGGGCTGACGCATCAACTTCTCGGGATGTAAACACCAGCGCACTTAAAAAGAAGTATAATTCCGCCTCCAGGTCCTTCAAAAGCGTCATTGCCAAGGCAAGGTCTGAGCACATCGGCAGAATTGGCGAGAAGCTAGTTCGCCTTCCTTCGGGAACCCGTGCATTCTGGTCTCACGCCAAGGCTGTCCAAGGGAACTTATGTCAGCCATCTCTTCCATCTCTGCACAGAGAGGACGACTCACTGGCCCATGCCGCAAAGGAGAAAGCCGATCTGTTGAGCTCTCTTTTTGCGTCCAATTCGACTCTAGATGACGGGGAGAACACACCGCCGACCATCCCGCGACGTGAGTGCTCCATGCCGGATGTGCGGTTTACACAGCGCTCGGTTCGCAAAGCACTCTTCTCCCTGGACGTCAGCAAGTCGAGTGGGCCCGATGGAGTTCCTCCCATTGTGCTGAAGACGTGTGCTCCGGAGTTGGCACCGGTTTTAACGCGTCTTTTCCGGTACTCCTACTCCCAAGGCGTAGTCCCGAATTCATGGAAGACAGCTTTCATCCACCCGATCCCTAAAAAAGGCAACCGCTTAGACCCCTTCAACTACAGGCCTATTGCCATCACCTCCTTGTTCTCCAAAATAATGGAATCCATTATAAACTGCCAGCTCATGAGGTACCTTGAGGATCACCAGCTGATTAATGACCGCCAGTACGGTTTTCGTCGAGGTCGATCAGCTGGTGATCTTCTAGTCTATCTCACTCATAGATGGGCGGAGGCAGTAGAGTCCAAGGGGGAGGCATTGGCCGTTAGTTTGGACATAGCGAAGGTAATTGAAGGAGCGATAAATTTACCGGTAATAAATCGAAATTAACCGCTCTTTTTAAACCGGTTCCGAGCCCTGCCACTGTGACACAAGAGATAGTGACGAAAAAATCTTATGCCTCCAGTACACGTTGGCCGAGCGCTCTCTGACTAGTATACAGTTATCTGTGGCCGAGCGCGCTCGGCAGATTTTCGTGGTGCCGTTCACACGTTGGCGTATTTCATTCTGCGTTGGTAGCTAATGATGATGGACGTTAGGGCAATCGCGGCCGCTGTCATATACTTATACAGCGCTTCACTCTTCTCAGAGTGAACGAAAAAAAAACTACACATACAACAATAATCCCAGTTTGTCCTTTTTAGGGTTCCGACCTCAAAAGGAAAAAAGAAACCTTTATAGGATCTACTAGCTGACCCGTGCCCGCTTCGCTGGGGGTTTTTTCAAAATAAAAAATAGCCCATAAGAAACCCCTAAGCTACATTATCCCTGAGCAACATAAACGCAGAGATAATTTATAATAATATTTATCATTAGGTAGGTACTCTGAAATCGCAACTAAACATGTATTATTTAATGCAGTTAGGCAAGTTACTCTGGTTTTATTTTTATGTTGCTCATGTTTGGGGTTCTATATAACTGATTCATTGTGAGAATCAATCAATGAACAATGAATCAATATTTCACTCCATAATTATTAGTGTTGGTATGCATATAAGTAACATTAAAAATATATTCTATTGAATTATATATAATATTTATTTATATATATACATGCGTATGTATATATATATATATATATATATATATATATATATATATATATATATATGTGTGTGTTTATTATATGTATATATTTGTATTGCATATTTATGTAAGTGCACACTTTGACTACCTCTATTTCCTTCAACTATCCTTCAATAGGCCTGCTGGAAGAAATTTCATCATGGAATAGGCAGTGCCTTTGTAAATAATTATGTTTTTACCATTTTCCTATCCAATTATGTGTGTACATAAACTGTTAAATAAATATTTCCTCATTAGTCCATGTCGCCATGTTGAAACAATTTTATCAAGCCGACACTACAGTCTACTTCAACGCGTAACTATGAACTGAATCAACACTCGGCCAACGTGTGATCGCTGTTTGCGGCTTGCGCCAAATTTCTTTGATTTGTGCACGGAAACCAGACACTATACGGCTTGTGGGCGAGTGTTGGCGGCGTACACACAAAACGGCCCAGTACACGTTGGCCGAACGCACTCGGCGAGCGCGCTCGGCCAACGTGTACTGGAGCCATTACACTTTTTGGCGCCTAGCTCCCATTCGCCAAACCCGTACCGTCCGGTAAGGAACTTTGTTCCAAATATTAATATGAATAACTCAAAAACTATTGGTCAGACCTTGGTCAAATTTATATGGGACCACACGAGAAGCACCAGCTTTCAAATAAAAAAGAATCATCGAAATCGGTTCACCCAGAAAAAAGTTATGAGGTACCACACAAAAAAAAGAACATACAGTCGAATTGCGTACTTCCTCCTTTTTGAAGTCTGTAGAAGAGTCAGATGTTGAGTGGTGAAGCACTATACTGTAAATCACAAACTAAAAAGAAGTGCTAGCGCATTGTGAATGACATTGAGGGCAGAATCTATGGATGGTACGCGGAGGGGGTTTTAAATAAATACTACATGTGTTTAACAAGTTCCACTTACTAATCTAGAGGACGAAGCACATAGTATAATGTAAACTTGTAGTTGTACTAATGTAAAGTAAAATCTCCCTATCACTGCGGCCAAGACACCTTGAGCAGTCAGAACTCCTAATTAGTCTTGTGACTCTGCTTGACTGGCAGTGAGAGAACCCCACATCACCTAACCCTGACATCATATTTCTGTCCGTCAGGTCTCATGGTAGACATCCCACATTTATTTATTTATGTATATTTACATGGTAAGGCTAGGGTATTAAGGACTCCTAGGGTCTACTAGGTATAGGGAACTTAGGGTCTATAGAGTTCAATAATCCTACCATAATAATGTACAGCCAGGTAGTTAATATTCAAACAAGTAGCTACCGGACTGTAGTCTTAGTCTTGGGATTTAAACCAAATATGCATAATTTTTTTTTAAATATCCGAAAACAACAAAATAATTAATTAAATTATTATATTTTTGAAAATATTCACATAACATCATAATAGTATCAATTATTAACATAAAACAAACATAAAAAAGAATTGTTTTTGAATCATTTAATCATGAGCATACAAAACAGATCAAAGAATTTTCGAAATCGGGAATATTTAAGAACTTGATGTTATAGTTTTTATAAAATATTTAATAAGACATTTTTACATAAATATTTAGATTTGAATGAATTGAAATCAAACCACTCTTCTATCACGAATTTTAAGAAATTTTACATGTTTATTTCTATTAAATGAAAACTTTTAAACAGATATTGCATAGAAAAGCAAATTCATTAATGAGGGCATCCACGACTTTTTCTGGCACCAGGGCGGCGCTACTAGAAAGTGAGGTAAGTATAATATTTGACAGATTTCAAAGCGGGGAAGTTAATTTGTTCGGAAAATATAAAAGATATTATTCTTTAGTCTTTTTGTACTATTATTTATTTTATATTAATAATATTAAAAATAAATAAACCAAACCACAGATATTTAAAAAAGAAAAATTTAAAAAAATGTTAAAAATGTGCAAAAAATTAAAGAGCAAACCACTGATGCATTGTTTTGTGTATTAATATAATATTCTAGAAACTGATAAACCTTAAAAAAATTATTAAAAAACAACTTTTCAATAAAATTACATTGTGTAACAAAAACTTTACCTCAGTGTGAACTAGTGACATCTGGTGAGCAGAAAATTATTAGCCCTCATTAGAAGTAAAGTATATTATTTTATAGTTTGTACTTTAGAGCTTCTCACAAACTCCTTCCTTAGAGTGAAAGTTGTTGCTAGACTAGTGTTTCCAAATTAGTGATTCAAAGTAGTACTTCCAGCGGTATGAGGTTTCCTGGCAAGGTACACTTTTAAGTATGGTAAGGATATGACAAACTCTTGACTAAGGTAAAAAACTATACAAAAATTACAATCGCCAAGTTGTATGATAAACATGCTCATTTTTATACTGTTATTTACATTATTAAAGTTGTTGAGAAATTAATAAATGACTAAAATGATTTTATAATTTATTAATCATTTTGGCAGAGTATGCAAGCTTAAGAACCTTCTTGAAGCGGATTGCAGGACAATTTCTATAGGGGACCATCAGTCAAAGCTTATGCTACATTACAGCAGTAAGCTTTTTTAAGTCTGTTCAACAATAATTTATTGTTAAAGGTACTAATAATAATTGATGATGTAAAATGTATACCATTCAACCTTGATTCTTAATTTTTTGTTATAAATCTAAATTTTAGAGAGATTTTAAAAGTAAACTTGATTAAAACTTCAATATTCCTGGGAAGAACCATTTGTTGTATGAGATTTGCTTGCTTGCTTAGCAGTCTTCTTTGGCAGTAGCTCTTGTTGGATTCTTGGTATAACACCCCCTTGTGATATTGTAACACCTTCCAGCATTTTACTTAACTCATCATCATTTTTCACAGCCAACAAAATGTGGCGAGGAGAAATTCTATAAAATTAAGAATAAATGTTTTATTAAACATACACATGAAGTTTTTCACGAACAATATTCGTTACCTTTCTCCTCCAGATATGGGCAAGAACAAGAATACATACATTAAAAAGGAGCACATTGTTAATGTGAATAATGTTAGAAATGAAAATGCTTTAATAATTCAACTTGGCTTACCTATTTTTACCATTGTCAGTTGCTGCCTTTCCCGCCAATTCTAAAATTTCTGCAGTTAAATATTCTAAAGCTGCTGACAGGTAAACTGCTGAGCCGCATCCAATCCGACTTGCATAATTTCCTTTTCGAAGGATCCTATGAATTCTTCCAACAGGGAAATGTACACCAGCGCGTTCGCTACGAGACTTAGATTTAGCGCGTTTCTTGAGACCTAAAATAATATAGTGCCATACATATACTCAACTCTTAGATAATCCGGTTTTACGAAAAATTTAAAAGAATTTCTTACTATCGATACCACGGCCGGACATTATTGCTTAAGATAAACAAAACAGTAAACACAAGCGAAAGATAATTTTCTAACTTGATATTATATAGAATATAACATAGAAAATCAAAATTATCAAACAATGAAGTACTCCAAGTATAAATTTTAATTTGAGTTTGACTAATGACAAATAAAAACGCGCGAACATGAATCGCGAAGGCAAACCGCCGAACCTGGCCGAACCGCTTTTTATTTTAATTTTAAGATTGTTGGCTTAGATACATATCTTTTAAGCCATGTCTTCCTTTCATTCGGGATTTAAAAATCTTCTTTACAATATGTCGATGCGTCGCATTGAAAAATTCTTGGGAGATTTCAGCGACAGCTAAACACCACTAAGTAGTCTGTGGCTAAACCACATGAGTAAAGAAACCGTACAGAGGCAAAGCTTCTAAGGCAGGGCTTCCCTAACTGTGCGCTGCGGCCAAGTCGCGGCTCCATCCCAGTGGCGTCGTGAGGCGTCTACAGATTCGCTGTGTCGATGCGACCGAGTCGAATGAGCGCCGCGCTCATTCTGATAATCTGATTCTGTTCTGTCGATTGCGGGCGGCCGGCCGGTGCCGGCGTCGAACTCCCTCCGTGTATTTTGATTTATTTAATTAAAACTTTTGTTTTAATTACGCACGCGGAGTTTCAATATTGACTATGGATAATTTTATTCAAAGAAATAGAAAACGAAGTAAAGACTCAGAAGAAAGCAGTAATGAAACTTCAGAAAAACGGCAGAAGTATAAAAATAAGACGTCCAATATTTGCATTTCGGATTTTCTAAATTACTAAAGGAAATGTAGAACTTCCTAAATGTGTTGTTTGTCATAAAGTGTTGGCAGCTGAAAGTATGCTTCCTAATCTTCGATCAACAATCATGGACCTAGAAAAAAGGGCGGACGCCGTCTCTTAAAACAATTACTGATGCACCCATACTAAGTCAGCTCGCTAATACAAACAAGCCGGCACGCACACATGCACACCATAGTAAGTCAACAGCCCGCCATTACGCTCCAAACCGCGTCCGCGTAACATTGTAGTGAAAACCTGTTGAAATCATAGTGGTTCCATTAAAAAAAGCCAGGGGATCACTTTTCATAGGTAAGTAAGTAATTTATTCACCTTATTTCTCATTTTTACTTTAATTTATTTCAAACTTTATTATCAAAACATTTTATTAACAAACAAAAATTATTATCAAAACACGAAACTAATCAGTGTTGCCAGTTATTAAATTTGCAAGTTACCTTAAATATGGGAGATTAATATCTTTTTGTTCACTTTGAATTGTTCCTTAATTCATTAATTTACCTCTGTATATACTTTTGGCGTCCCATGATACTAAAGTACCAATATTATAAATTTTACATTTTATAGATTTCCCTCTGCAGATGATGTGTGGAAGAATGGCTGGGTGCAAATAATAAAAGACTGTAGAAATGAAAACAATTGGAATACATCTAAATCTAGTGTAATCTGCAGTAAACATTTCGAGGAGAATGATTTATAGAGAACAAAAGGTGGACTTCTTCGCGTTGTTACTTACGCCATCCCAAAAAAGATAAAGATCAATGAATATCTATTTTCCTCTTACAATTATAAGCTTAACATATTGAAACGTAATTAATTTTTTAGTTTTTATTTGAGGCGTCAAGCGTTCCGGAGGAACAACTCGTTGAAGCAAATACTTCCAGTGCTTCGCATGGGGTACGTACGTGTTAAGGAGAGAAGTTTTTAATCGATTTGAAAAAAAGGAGGTCAAGAGAGCCAAGTCGACTGAATGTTTTTTGTTTTTTTAAGTTACACCGACAATGTCGAAACGTTTTCGATGATTCTTTTTTAGTTGAATAGGTTATACTACAATGTTTTTCACCGATATGTATTTCTTTTCTTTTAGAAAAGAAATACATCATAAAAGGGATGTATTGCTTTTCTTTTTGAAAATAAATACATCCTTATTTTTGTACTTGCGAGATAGTGATCCGAAAGCATTTAAGAGATAATATAACTATATATACTGAAAGACAACATCAGTACAGGCTTACCAAAATTCTGGAAAAATATATAGCTAACGACAGGATTTTTTTAAATTTAAAACTTGACCATGCGTTTGCTAGAGTAAAACATAAAATAGCTCTCATTGAATATATAGCCGAAAAATATCTGAATATTCGTTTTCACCATATAGCTAAATTGAAGGAGATTTCTAAGTCTTTTGACAGTAAAAGACAATATTATAAAAAATTAACCCAACAAAAGGGACTCTAAAAAAACCGTTAATAAATGTAAATTAATTATAATATTAATAAATATTCATAATCAATATTTTTATATTCAATGTGTTTTATTACAATCTTGTTTTATTAAACTTAAAGTCCTGGTTCCGAGGACGATGACGAATGTCTTAAATCTAATTGAATTATTTTGCGTTTAAAAATGGGTAATTTTTCTTCATCTTGCAACCCTCTACACGCTCACACATAGTTACGCTGCCGTCACTGCGACGCCTCAATTGTTTGTTAGCGAGACTCTGTCCGCCCTTTTTTCTAGGTCCATGTCAACAATACCAACTAGATAACGGGTCACGTACAAAATCATAGCTAAATGCTGTATGTAGTAATAAAGTCACAAATCTTACGATCATTAGTTACAAAAAAGAACAATTCAATGCATTACTCCTGTCACTTGGAAATGGAAAAACATAGGTTAAATAACATTTAGAGTGAAATCAACCTTAAGTAATTGTTTAAGCCAAATATTAACATTTGAAACTTGCATTAAAGACGCGCGCTCGGCGCGTTCATTCGATGGTACCCGTCACCGCCTGGCACCCTTCCCCGCGCGCGTCTCTCCGCTCACCACTCGGTCGCTCGACGTGTGGGTATTCAATTGTTCGCGGCCGCCGTGTCGGTTAGACGATCTGAAATTTACGCTCGGAACGTTAGGTCGCGTTAAGACCGCCTCTGATAGCGTTGTCTTATTTCGTGCGTTTAACGAGACAACGAGGCTTCTCTTGTGTTTTGAGTGATTAAATTAACTTCGATTGCCATTAATTTGCGTCGACGAATTGCTTGTGTGGCATTTTATATCGTACGAAGGAATTTTGGCTTTGTCGGGTGGAACGCTAAAACTTGTGACCCGAGAGGAGATCGCGTTCGTGCTCGATTATAATTTTGTGCTAAGGGAACATGGGACATTGAAGTTTGACCGACAGTTCTTAAGTTGTGCAGTGTGTCACTTGTTTTAAGTTCGATTAACGTTGATTTAGTTAAATCTGAAGTTAATTAATTATTAAATGTACAATAATTGATAAACTAATATAGTGAAATAAAAGCAGAAAGTCTCAATTGGTGAACGCCCACTGGAGGGATCGCACATTGTGGAGAAAAGCAGCGCCTGTGGGTCTCCTGTCAGATTACATCGGTGACGTCATGTTACAACTACACACTTTCACACACCACTTTACATCCACTTACTTACCGCCTGACTGTGCCTTGTGGTCGACCCTACCTCCGGAACTCAGTAAGTTTGTGTTTGCTTATCAGCCATTAGTTAATAATTATCCGTAGGCCATTTGGGCCAGAACCTTCTGGTTGCCCGTCGAGTGAGCTACTGATGGACCCTAGCCCAGTCGACTTCTGTCGGGGCAACTGAGGGTCGTAACAGTAATAACAAATTAAAGTACTTTTTCTCGTTATTGCCTTACATGCTACGTCGTTTTGTTTCGTTTCTGTTTGCTTCTTCGAATTTATCTACAAAAGTTATGGAGTCACGGTGAACACTAAAATAATTTATAATATGATCATAAGTTTAGTTAAAATTATTTATAAACATTTATGTTTGTTAGTATACATACTTTCCACATTAGCCATTAAATATAATATAGGATGTAGTATAATGATTGCATGTTATTAGATAATTCATTATATATTTATTTTAGTTTTTGTATGTATATATGTTTGTAGTATATGTATGTATATAATACACACATATATTATATGTGTGTGTATTGTTTTTTATCACACTAATTTACCCTATCCCTGTTATCTTCGTGTAATCCTGTCCATTCATTGGTTGTCTCGAAAAAATTGCTGTTAGCAATAAGACCGCCCATTGCGTACTTCTTTGTGTTGGTGTGCAATAAAGAATAATTAATAAAAAATAAATAAATAATATACTTAATTGAAGGTTTGGTGTATAATAAAATTATTTAATTTATCAGTGTTTTTATAGGACACACACAAAAAGTAATAAAATGTAAGTACGCTTTTTGTTTTTCAAATGTATGTAATGTCGGCTGCTGTTTTAACCAATCGACGTCGATTAGTAACATATAACTGAATTAATAGCTGGCTTATAAAAGTCATCTCATTTTTCTCTGGCAACAATCGAGATCCATTCTGCACACATAAACGGATTGTTAGGAAAGCTAAAATAAAAACAATAAAGCTAAGTATCTAATGAAATTACACAAACAGAGACAAAAGTAGCAATTACCATTATTTAAAATTCAGGTAACAAATTACTAAAAATGATTATAATACAAATCTACTCCATGTACTGTACTGTTCTGTTTCACAAATGTTTACGCGTGTATTGGCCAACCTTGGCAAAACATTTGTAGGGGTGCTTTATAATCGGTAATTTTGTTTCAAATATGATAATAGTTGTTAGTTTAGAGCTTAAAATATAACTTATTCTACATGTGCTTACCAAAAGTAAGACACTCCGGCTGTTAAATTGCTTTTTCGGGAATTATTCTTGCAACTTTTAAATACATATTATGGCGTGACACGTGTTTACATTGGCTGTGTTTCAAAGCAACTAAACGAAATAAGAGCTCACGTGTTCAGTGCGCTGTTATTTACTTGGACGTATTTTTTGCGCCGACCCGATATCTAATTGGTATTGTTGATCGAAGTTCCTAATAAACTAAAACGTCATTTGGAAACAACTCACAGTAATTTACAAGGTAAGCCGAGAGACTTTTTTGTT